CTAAATCTGTTTCACAAAGACACCTTCAGAAATGCAACACTGGCCTTGCCATCTCCCAGCTTCAGGTATACTGAACTTGTTTTTTGAATTTCTTGGGTTCCCTCTAAAATACCATCCCCTCCTATTACTACTTATAATTCACTTCTAGTTGTCCTCAAAATTCAACTCCAGTCACCTCCTCTGGCACACCTTCTCTGTCACCCTACTCAGCCTAATTTAGATTCCCCTCCTCCGTGCCCTCACAGCAATCTATACATATCTTTATCAGAGCACTTAACAACTGACTATATTATTTGATTTGCTTGTTTGCCTTCCCACAATAGATAAATTTAAGCTCTCAAGGGCAGGAAAGACGTTTTTCTTTAACCTTGTATCTTTAATAACTGTGCCTGGCACACAGCAGTCTCTCAATAAATGGATGCTTTATGTATGTGGGTTCCCATTTAAATAGGATTCTATATACAAACAACACATTTCCAAAATCATTTATTCTAGGAACCGCTTCTGATTAATTTGCCATTTTTATACATGTGTCTATCTTCAGTACAACTGGTCACTTCTAATTATTGTTACCAAATTAAATAATAACTTGAGGTTTCTGTTTTGCATCCAAAAAATTCTATTACATAGTGATCTGCATGTAATACTTCTAAGCCATCTAAGAAGCTGTATCTGCTAACTTTCTCTCAGTGTTCATTTCCTTCAGTGTTTATAAGGTTCTATGTGAGTTTGTCTTTGGTTAGCAACTGTTTTATAGAAATCCTTTGTACCCTGGTTGTTGTCAGTGTGTTTCTTCATGGTAGCTTGTGCCAGTGGCCCCAGATTTCAAGACTGCAGACCTAGTTTCTTCGCTAAATTCTTGGCTGGGGGGTGGGGTGGGGGCACCTGGGTGGTACAGTGGGTTAAGAGTCTTGTTTTAGGTTTGGGGCATGATCTCAGGCTTGTGAGATCAAGCCCTGCACTGGGCTCCGTACTCGGCACAGAGTCTGCCTGAGACTTTCTCCCCCTCTCCCTCACCACACTCTATCAATCAATCAATCAATCAACCTTTTAAGGAAGAAATTCTTGGTTTGGGATTTCGACACTATATGGGTAGTAAGAATTTCCCAGAAAAGATTTTTCTGTCCCTGCCCAGACCCTTAAATAGGTCCTATCCTATCCTTGAGACTTCTTGGGGCCACAGACAAAGTACCCTTATCATGAATTAGGCAGCCTTTTGAGAACTCTAGCTTTATACAGGTTCTTGGTTACAGCCCCTAGCCTAGTCAGGTCCAAAGCCATGCTTCCCATAACCACACATGGCATTAAAATCTGAGCCTCCAGATGCTAAGGTCTACTTTATAGGTCTTCAACCAACCCCGAGCCTCTCAAACCACTCTGGTCTTTGGATTCTTTTCAGTTTTGTCACCTAGCAGTTCCCTTTCACTTTTCTAAACTCAATTATACTTTCCTACATTTATAATGGGAAAGGGGTCCTTATAAAATCTATCTACCATGTTCCTAGAACCTTTTCCTAAGTAAATTTTGAATCCATTCACTTTTCTCCATCTCTTTTACTATTACCTCTGTGCAAGCTACTGCTCTCTCTCATGCCTCTCTCTATTCCTGTCCATCTTTCCCTGTCCAATGCATACGGAATAATGTAACCAGAATAAAAGCCAGAATTTAAGAAAATGTGAGATCAAGTTATATTTTTGCATATTTTCTATATGACCCAGCAATTCTACTCTGAGGTATATATCCAAGAGAAATAAAAACATATGCCCACACAAAAACTTGTACATGAATGTTTATAGTAACATTATTCAAAATAGCCAAAAGATGGAAAGAACCCAAATGTCCACCAACTTATGAATGGCAAACAAAATGCAGTATATCCACATTGCAATTTGTTTGAATAGTGTTGGAATTCCAACACTATTGGAATAGTGTTTGGCCATAAAAAAAAAAAATGCTGATACATGACACAACAGGAATGAACCTTGAAACATTATTCTAAATGAAAGAAGTCAGTCACAAAAGACCACATATTGATTCTATTTATATGAAATGTCCAGAATAGGCAACACTATAAAAACAGGAAGTAGATCAGTGGTTGCTTCGGTCTAGGGAGTGGGTAGATGAGGTGGGAATAGGGGGGTAATGACTAAATGTATGGGATTTCTTTTTAAGATGATGAAAATGTTCTAAAATTGACCGTGATAATCATTGCACATATCTGTGAATATGCCGAAAACGACTGAATTGTACACCTTAAATTATATGGTATATAAATTCTATCTTTATAAAGATGTTAAAAAAAAAAGCTTCCAGTAACTCATCATGGTTCTTAACATATATATCCAAAATCTTTGTCCTCAGCCGTAAGACTTTGCGTTATATAGCTCCAATTTATTCCCCAAGCCTCACCTTAGATTGCTCTTTCCCTAACTCTCTACATCAAAGTCACATCCTTTCTCAGATTCTCCAAAGGATCAAGCACCTGCCCACCTTAGTGGTATTCAATAGCCATATTTCTGCCAGGAATGCTTATCCCCTTCTCCTAGCTATTATTTGTCCTACACATTTTGAGCATCATACCCTTAGGATAACCTTATCCTGCAGGAGAAGGGAGGTCTTCTGTAGGTGGATACTCTGTCCTAACAACTCACACTACCTCTTCATAGTATATATTATAATTATTTAATATTTATCTTTCTTCACTACCATGTATGTTTCCCAAGGGCTAAGACTGTTTGCTTGTTCACCACTATATTACCTGGGTTCATCATAGTACTTTGCAATGGCAAACGCTCAATAAATATTTTGAAAAAAAAATGAATGCTAGTGACTGAGTCCAACAAATGTTATGTAATGTCTTCTTATTTATCTTGTGCCATTACTGTATTTGTCTATTATCTAATAAATATCTAATATCTCCCTGTTTATTATTTTGTACCGTCCTAAAAATGCGCTTATCTTGAAACACCACATTCATGTAATTCATCAATATATATATATATTTTGATATATATATATATATTTTTAAAGATTTTATTTATTTATTCTTCATAGAGACACACACACAGAGAGAGAGAGAGAGAGAGAGAGAGAGAGAGAGAGAGGCAGAGACACAGGCAGAGGGAGAAGCAGGCTCCACGCAGGGAGCCCGACGTGGGACTCAATCCAGGGTCTCCAGGATCACGCCCTGGGCTGCAGGCGGCGCTAAACCGCTGCGCCACCGGGGCTGCCATATATATATATATATATATCTATATATATATATTTTAAAGATTTTATTTATTTATTCATGAGAGACACAGAGAGAAAGAGAGGCAGAGACACAGGCAGAGGGAGAAGCAGGCTCCATGCAGGGAGCCTGATGTGGGACTCGATCCAGCGTCTCCAGGATCAGGTCATGGGCTGAAGGCACGCTAAACCGCTGAGCCACACAGGCTGCCCAATTCATCGATATTTTAATTTAATTCTTTATTATACTTGCTGCCTCTGGAGGAATTATGTCCCAGTGTTAATATATGGTACACAGTACATAACAAATATTTGTGGCTTAAGTAAAACCTCTCAAGCAAAATTAGTATCTGTAGCAGGTGCCATCTTATTGTTCATAGGTCATAAAAATCCCAGAAGACTGTAACTATTTCTCTAGGTTTCTCTAAATAATGGTGCGTACACCTAAATATTTAATAATGCAGTTTGATAAAAAGCCTGATTTACCCCTCCTTTCAGGGGTCATGATCTTAGTGATGAATTTAACTCATTTTACTTGTGTCAGCCCAGAAGCATTTTTGAAATGGAGTTTTTTTCCAGCTAATATTCAGAAAATATTACTTTCACATTTAGTCCTAGATGAAACTAATAACACCTAAATTACATCCAAGCTATTATATATATAAGCATTCAATATCCAAGATTGACTTATTAAAAATTTCCTTGGCTGGAAACCAGTGTAAAGATGATGCTCTGCAACCTATTACCCCAGAAAACTGACTTTCTCCAATTTTTATATAAAGAAATGAAAAAAGAAAGGAAGGAATGAAAGAAAAGAAACACTATTTTTCAACTCACTTAACATTTCCCTTCTGCTTCTCAAAATTTTAGTTTTAGAACTACCATTATAATAAACAAACATCTAAAAAATTTAACTCATTGTACCTTGTGGATGGTAAGACTTATTATACATATATACATACTCACAAATACAAAATCTCCTTCCTTTGGAGATTCAAAAGAAAATGGGGTCAAACTGAAATCTAAATTTTTATACGATTTCACTTCCTTTTCTAGTCTTAAAAAAGGAATAAATATGGCTTCAGTTTTTAAGTAGATCTGAAACAGCTACATGGAGTGCATTCTATTTTTTTACTTTTTCAAGTGGGAGGAAATGTCCCATTCTTCTTGGTCACATCTTCCAACATCTTCTAATACTGACAATCAAAAAGTTCTTCTTAGCTTCTCCCTTAAATCTCTCCTGTGCCAATTCATGACTGCTCTCTCATCATTTTCCTCTAAAGAAATTGTAAAATAACCGGTCACTATCCTTCTGCCATCATCATACACTATTCAGTTCTTTTTCTGGTATTCTTAAATTAATTAAAATGATATCCTAGCTTTATTTCTCCGAGCCTTTTTCATGCTACGGCTTTTCCTTGCTGCCAGGGAAGTCTTCACAGACTCCTCAAAACAAAAGAAAAGATCCTTCTCTGTGCTTTAGGTTCTCTACCACAAAATGGGGAAACAGTGTCCGACCATGATTTCTTTTTTAAGACAAATAGAAAAAAGATATGCCTGTATTCATAACAGAATAAGTATCTATGCTAAATAATCAGAAAAAATTAAGATCTCTGCCAAAAATCTCCCAGAAGCAAAATAGACAACCCAAACTGTAACATAAAGATCTACTTTCATAAATGTATTTGGGATTGGGGGAGAGACTTCACACCCATTTCTTTATCTCCTACCTCAAAGAAGAACCCTACAAAGGAAATCAGTACATAACATACCTCCTCCTGTCCCTGGCTTCCACAGAGGAGTCTGTTCCAGGAGTGGAGAGCAGAGTGGCAGTTGTAACCCCATTGGCAGTGTTAGGTGGAGGGCGATTAGTGATCACACAGAGCGGGGTGCTAGATGAGACATTGTCTGCTGTTTTCTCTACTGTTGAGTCAGCCTGGGATTTGTAAGGAGTCCTGAAATAAAAAACACAAAAACAAAAAAAACACAAGCAGAAAAAGGATGGTCAGGCATGCCACATAACAAAGCAGTAGCACACACACACACAGGGTTTGAGATAAGTACCTAGAGAAATCTTGCTCAGATTTTTTTTGTTGCTTGACTGGATTTTTAAATTCTGAGCTCTTAAATCTTAGAACGGTATGATTATACATTTAGTTTGATATCCTCTGCCCAAAGAGTTATATTTCATGAATTTTTTTTTTTTGCTTGAGATTTAAAAAATTAAAAAAAATAACTATGGCACAAGGAAGATAGTAACATATGCAAGAGTGCTTTAAATGATTCTTGAGTACCATCTGGTCTCCACACAGGCACACAGAGGCAGGGCCTCTCCACACACATGAAAACGACACTAAAGTCACTTACGATATTAGCCTCCACCTGCCCCTTAATTCTTGGCAGTGAGTCTTTGTGGTAGTCCTCAGCCTAGATTAGATGACCATCTTCTTGGATTCCAGAGATATTTGATAAATACAACCTCAGTATGCTTAGTTTTCCCTTACCTAGCTCAGCAACTGCTCTCTTTCCACTTAACCAAATGCCTGATTGTCTGCAATCTTAAGTGCATACATGAGCAACAGAAACAAAAACTAGTAAGATTCTATATGTAACCTTAACTGCAGACTTTCCAACAGCAAGCTGTATAATTAAACTCATTTACATGAAAACAAGATCTTTGTTTCTTAACAAAGAGTTGAGAGCAACCATTGGCTCTCCACCCAAAAAGCTATCATTTGTGATGTCACAGCTTGTTGCTGGGGTAACAGAGATCCAAAATTGATATTCACAGAGATGAGAAAAGCAATGAAAATAAGGAATTCTAAAAATCTGGCTTTTTTTCCCCCACTTACTCACAATTACCAAAAATGCTTATAAGTAGCTATAAACTCATTTTCAAATAATCACATCATTAGAATGAACTTGAAAGCAATAATTAGATTGTAAAAATCTAAATATGGCACCTAGATGCAAATATAAAAATAGAACAGTTTTGAACTGGTATCTAAAAAACACAAGCCACTTCTCCAGAAACAATTAATGACTCAGAAAAAAGGTGAAACTAAATTCCTCACTTACAAGATGTATGAGTCTATAGGACATACTAATAAAAGTAGCCAGAAACAAAGCTATAAAAAAATTACACTTATCAAAACCTTACCAGACATTCTTTTAGGTTAATAACATGTTTTGTTCTTTCTGCGATTTTTTTCTGCTGTGGAAATGCCAAAGATTTTATTTTATTGAATTACAGAATAGGACTTATACTATTATTTTGAAATGTGGTATAATTTTACAAGTGGAATGTTAGAATAGGAAAAGCTCCAGAGCAGGGAGGCTCTGGAACCATGTGGGGCTACATTTCAGCCAAGTTAACTCTCAAGTCACTTCATCTATAAAATGGGAATAATGATACCTTAAAATCCAAGGGTCTTATGACGATTAAATAGAATAATGTATGTAGAACACTTAGAAGAGAGCTCAGAGTAAAATACAAGCTCAGTGGAAAACTAACAGTGAAATAGAAGCTCTGACATGGACAAATCTAGGTTCAAATCCTGCCTCAGTTCCTTACTAGATGTGTGATCTTGTGCAGATGATTAAGTTTTGGGTCTCAGTTTCCACATCTATAAAATAAGAACAATATATGTGTGCCTGAGATATGCCTAACCCATATTCATTTTCCTTTTCTTCCCAACAGAATCCATCAATTATTGAGGGCAGCACTGCACCTAGTTAAAAATCCACATTTTCCAAAGTCTCCCTGGCTGCCTCTAGCAGAAAATTAGCACTCTGGGGAAAAACCTCAGTTCAGAAGCATACCCTCTTGGTACATTTCCCCCTTTCTTCCTTCTTCCTGCCTAGAATCAGTCATGACAGCTAGAGCTTCAGAGGCAACCCATGGAAATGGAAGCATGATCTAAGAACTGTGAAACAGAAAGACAGAAGGATATAGGATCCTTTGATGACTCTGAAGCTGTGGTGCCAACCCTGCAAATTTCTGGACTTTAAGTGAGAGAAAAAAAATAAAGCTTTATCATATGTAAGCCTCAGTTATTAGGACTTACTGGTACATGTGAATAAACCAATTGCTCATGTAATTTTTATAAGTACCGAAGCCAATGCTCAGGACATGATAGGGTTCAACAAATGGTAGCCATTACTATTTTCCCTGGTCTCAACTCTTAACAGTCAAGCAATTAACCTCTCTGCATTTCAGTTTCTTCATCTATGGGTATAATATTTACTACACCTATGCAGATGAACTATTATAAGGACCTAATTAATAAATGTCAACATAATTGTACAGTATTATTATTAATAATCCATCTTGAGCCTATCCCTCCCAGCCAAACTATAAATAATCACCACTTATTTTAAGGAAAGAAATATAATAAATGGACAAAAACCAATCAAGCAACACCACCAGTGTTCTTGCAGCAACACTATCATCACGAATGTTTTTCATTTTCTTTGTGTCAGTTCTAGAAACACTACCTCAAAAAAGAGTCCCTTTGCCATACCCCAAAGTAAAAAGGTCTCTGACCATACACATAAAGGATTGAAAGCCATAGTCAAAACCACAGCTGAAGTCCTGGGGCACTTTCACGATGAAGTCTTTCCCATGCTACCCCTTAGAAGGACTAGACACTACTGCCCTAGGAATGACACAAATCTAGACAAATTTAGACAAACACACATCTCTTCCTTCCTACAGTGTTTCCAGCAAAAACTGAGCTGAGAATTTTCAGAAGGCCATAGGAAGCTTATGGAACAAGAGTTAGCTTATCATCTGATTTGGGTTTATATGCTGTCCGAAAAAAAGAGTAAGTAGAAGAGACTCCTACTCACGATGACTAGAAAATTAATGTAAGTGAAGTAATGTGGATATTTTTAATATGTGCTTTCCCATAATAGGATGACCCTTACATAGTAATTCCACAAAAGCAGTCACTTTAAGTCGAAGCCTAACACCAAGTACAAAGACACATACCCTATGATTATTCAATGAGCAACTGCTGAGTGCCTAATACAAGTCCAAACAAAACATCCTTGTTAAATCATGGACATTTTCACGCGAATTCAAACTTGTTCCACAGTGACAAAGTCTCTTTGGTTCGAATCTCTTATGTGTATCCAGAGGCATGAGTTTTGATGACTGTAACTCAAATGGCCCCAAGAAGCCTTACCTGCCATGGTGTACAGATGCAGCAGTGTTTGCACTGATTGGTGTAGGGCAAGAAGAGGCAGGTTGCCACCTGCTGCCCCGAGAGGTAGATGAACCAATGGTAATGGGTGAGGTAGCAGGAGATGAATTGCGATTGGCTGAAATGTAGGGACTTGTGGGGTCACTACTTCTACCAAATGAGGCACTGCAAAACAGCACACAGTCACTTTCTTCAGGACATGCTGCTCACCCACCATGTCCCAGCACCACCTTCCCCCCAGACTGTGCATTTGAAAGGAATGTAGACCAAAGAGAGGGTATGGCAATTGGGAAGTGGAGTGAGTGATCAATTCCAGCTATAGCTGGGTCACTGGCAGCAAGCAGGCATCTGTCAATCATCCAAAAGAGTGAAGGAAGCTTGAGGAGAGATGATATGCAATAAGAGAAAGCAGAAGAGCAGTATATAGGAATAGAATAGGGGCTGAGAAATATTTAGCAAATAGAATAATTTTATTAGAAAAAGTAATTCCCAACAAACCCCAAGGCAAAAAAATCATGCAACCCCAAATGTCTACCTGATATAGAAGTAGCACTGCAGAAGCTAAAGTAAGACGAAGAATTTGGAGAGGTTTTGGAGTAGAAATTTAAAATTAAAGAATGGAGAATAAAAAAGCTCTGTGGGGAAAAAAAAAATGTCTCTGAGGACAGTGGTTATTAAGCCTAAAACAAACGTGTCTTTGGGAGGATTCAAAGTTTTAAGTATAGGAAATAACATTGCATGGGCAACAGAAGGCAACTTTCCTTTGTTTCAAAGGAAGATAAGAATGAACCATCTCAATTAAAGCAAAACATTACTTGGGTTAGAATTTTTAAAAAACCGTCTTGACTGTTATGGTAATGAGACACTAGTGGGGGTGACCAACACAAGCTGTGAAGGCTTCCTTGGTAAAGATGCACTTTACTGGGACACAAGAAAGGAATTTCTGCCTAAGGACAAGAGATGAACTAGAAAATGGAAAGTATGTTGAGGCCTGGAAGAGTCCAAGAGGGCCAAATGCCTTCTTGCACTTTCTTTTTTAAATAGCGATAGCATATGATTCTTCCCTTTTGAAAAGATCGTAAAACGAGATTTTGTGTAGCCAAAAAAATGCTTTAAGGGTAATAAAGATTTGGAAATCCAAAGCATGAATCAAGCTGTGGATCTTCTTTCAAAAAGCACTCATATAATTAAGCATGTTTTCTACCCTAACTAGAGGCAGTCCCTTTCTCCTCTGTTTACCATAATTATGCCAACTATACCTATCTAACCAGATGCTACTCACTCTACCCCTCTGTTAATTATTTCGATCACGAAAAAGAACAACCCCACCACAATGTAACGACATGCTTGGAAATGAAGTGCAGCTTTCTCTTTCCTAGATCTAGAGTGTTATTTTCTTAGAACAATTTTCCTGGTCTTGGATACAACCGTAAGGAGTAATGATGTGTTTAGATAGACTAAGATCTTAGTCTTGAAGACAAATAAGTGATTGCTTCATTGAGCCAAAAACACTGAGTTTATATACATAATGAAGCTTCAGTGAGATCACTGAACCGTATCTGCAGAACTGAAGACCAGTAAAAGGCAACAGTGGCTGTTTGTTTCATAGCTTACTAATTTTACTAATTCACATGTTCTGATATTAACTAGTTGACAAGATTCTTCCAATCAAGTGGAAATAGGTTTTGAACCCAAACATATAGTCTATGGCAAAAGGCTGTTACTTGAGCAGCCAATCCATCGTCTATAAAACCTAATGATGAAGCCCATGGCACGAAGAGGCAGTTGGAGGGGTTGAGTAAATGAAAGTGAAGAAAGAATTCAAAGTAAGCAATGAGAATCAGACTCTTCCATATCAGCAGCAAAGTTCAAATTAAAATACTCATTAAGTACATCTTATAGTATAATGGCTCTGGCAAAGGTGCTTTGCTTGCTGGGTGGTACATGGCAAAGAAAATAATTGCAGAAAAGAGAATATAGATGAGAAAAGGGGAAGAAAACCCATGTACCTTCTCTGCACCAAACTTGCGAGTTTCACATCTTGATGGATCTGAGGGCCATTAAAGTCATAAAAAAAAAAAACAACTCAAGTCCCTAAATTAACAGGCTTCAATATGAAACTTCTTTAATGCAAAACAAAACTGTCCCCATTACCCAACCACCTCACCACCCTATAGGGTCCCTCCCTTCCTCCCCATAAAAATGTAACTTGAGATGAGAACTTCTCTAGTTTTAGAAAAATGAAAGCTAGCTACTGGACCAAGGTGATTTAAATTCAGTCCTGCTCAGGGATTACTAGAAGTCACTTCCAGTCGAAGATTAGGACTGAGAGGAGAGAGTATAAATTCATGGTGAGAATTTGGAATCAGTTTACTTTAATTCAGTCAGGAAAATAAAGTTAATTTATAATTAGTCGAGATGTTACTCCCAAGAAATCTGAAAGTAATTCATTTTTTGATTCGTTTTTGTGGTGCTAATTGGATATAAAACAGCATGCAATTATTACCCATACACCCATGGCCAGAGTGAAGAAATTTCATCTCCCACCCCTTGGAACCTGGTACCTTTTCAAGTAGGTTGATACATAGGTAGAAGGAGCAACTGACTGTGGAGTTTCATTTCCCTTCGCTTCATCCCTCCACAGCTGCCGCGTATACGAACCACTCCTCACTAGATTCACAGCTGATTCTCTGCAGAGGCATGGAAGAAAAACAAAACAAAGCAATGATTCCTACCACCAGTTTTGTTCATGATATAATGCAAACTGGGAGAAGGGTCGGAGAGGGAAACTGTAATATGGCTAAAGAAACAGACACACTTTTCAAGGGATGCTTGGGTTTTTTCCTGTATACACAGAGGACGGGTCAAGTATTACTACTGTCTGCTTTCTTTTATCAACTTCAAAGCCAACTAATTTCAATAGGTACCAAACGCTTATGTCAAAGGTCTCCAATTCTTTTGTAACTTTTTTGTTTCTCCTTTAAAGGGCTTTATAAAGCCAATAGGTAGCTCATATGGAAGCAGAGAAGAGGACGATGGGGAAGATGAGGAAGTCTGTAACAAGGGGAAGAGGTAACTACCGCAGAAAAGGAAGAGAGAATAACCTGCTGGAAGCCATCTAGAAAGGGCTGTAGTAGGATTTCTAATCCACAATTGTTCCCTCAGGGCCTTTGCTGCCAAAGCTGTGGCTCTCCAGAGCAGTCCTTCTCAAACTTCAAATCACCTAGGGAATTTTGTTAAAATGCAGATTCTAATCCAGCAGGTCTGAGGTGGGGCCTGAGGTTCTGCATTTCTAAGATACTTCTAGGTGATTTCAATGCTGCTGGCTGGGAAGACCACACCTTGAACAGCAAGGTTCTAGATCAGGTTCTGCTCCGAGATGCAGCAGTAATCCTCACATTCATTTTAACTGTTGGAGAAGACTTCAAATTTTTATCTACTTACAAATTAGAAATTGATCACTAATTAAATAATAATATTTTTAGTGTTTACCATGGAAACAGGTCATGTGCTAAACACTAGGGGTCCCTGAGAAACCAGCCAGACATAGACCCTACCTTTACAGAGTCCGCTGGCGTAGTAAAAACAAATTCGCCCTTGGAAGGGTCAGGGAAGGCTTCCTAAAGACAGTGATACCCAAGCTGAAGTGAGAGCCTAAAGGGCAAAGCACTGGCAAAGCAAGAGAGCAAGGGCTGGGAGGAGTTCTAAGAAGAAGGAATAAACAATTCATAATGTGCTCAGGGCACCTGCAGAAAGACGGCAGCAGAGTGATGGCCAAGGCATCACTATGCCTAGGAAAGTTCAAGAGGACCATCTTTTGGCCTGTATTAGGATTACCTGTTCTCCTTTTCTTCAACGTCACTTGTGCTGCTGAGCCTCCGGGGTGCTAGTGAACTAAAATAGCTTTTGTTTTCTCTCTCCTGTAAAATCAAAACAAGTAAAGCACAGAGAAGGTACAACACCGTCACAGTGTAACATTCTGGGTAAAAACGCAGAGCTCAATACACCTATATAATCTTATTTCTAGATCCAGTAACAATTCCGGTTTGAGTAGTATTACAAAAGGCTGGCTTTCAAAGACTAATTCCTGCCTTTCCTCCATTAAAAACCAATATGTAGGGAAACAATTCTCATGGGAAAAGCCAGGATGATCAAAAAAAAAAGGAAAACAGCAGCACAAATTACACAAATCAGCAACCTTGCCAAAAGGGATCACTCTAAAGTTCTTTAAAAAAAAAAAGGGGGGGGGGATCCCTGGGTGGCGCAGAGGTTTGGCGCCTGCCTTTGGCCCAGGGCGTGATCCTGGAGACCCGGGATCGAATCCCACATCGGGCTCCCTGCATGGAGCCTGCTTCTCCCTCTGCCTGTGTCTCTGCCTCTCTCTCTCTCTGTCTCAGTCTCTTATGAATGATTAAATAAAATCTTTTTCTATTTATTTATTTATTTATTTATTTATTTATTTATTTATTTATTTATTTATTTATTTACGATAGTCATACAGAGAGATAGAGAGAGAGAGAGAGAGAGAGAGAGAGACAGAGAGAGGCAGAGACACAGGCAGAGGGAGAAACAGGCTCCACACAGGGAGCCTGACCCCGGACTCAATCCCGGGACTCCAAGATCACACCCTGGGCTGGAGGTGACACTAAACCGCTGAGCCACCAGGGCTGCCCTACTCTAAAGTTCTTAATGAGGGGATCCCTGGGTGGCTCAGCGGTTGAGCACCTGCCTTCGGCCCAGGGCATGATCCTGGAGGCCCAGGATCGAGTCCCACATCAGGCTCCCTGCATGGAGCCTGCTTCTCCCTCTGCCTGTGTCTCTGCCTTGCGCTCTCTCTTTCTATTTCTCATGAATAAATAAAATATTTAAAAATAAAAAAATATAAAGTTCTTCATGAAATAAGCCTTATTTCTTCATAGCCTGTCTTCTCTTTGAAATGCAGCTTCATGTACAACAAATATGCTGCAGAGTTAATCCAACCAATATCATCACCTCCTTGAGGAGTCTCCAGAAACACAATGTTGAACAAGGAGACTATGGTTACAGGGAAGCCCTGACCCCAGAGGAGAGCATCAAATGAGCCCTAGAAAATCTGGAACCAAAAGCTAAGAAATAAAAATGTACTGATTTTGGATGATTATGTGGATGAGCTGTTTGTGAAGTCAACTGATCATATATCTAGTAATGAAAAAAATAAGGCACTTAAACATTTTTTTCCCAAGTCCTAAGTTGCCTGAGCTTCATTAGGCTCAAAAGACCAGCTAAGGAACTTTGCTTCCAAACACCGAAAGAATTCAATTACTGGAATTGGTTCAAGGGAAACTTAGGCCATATCCAAATTTTCATGTTCCTGACTAAATTTATTATTTTATTTGTCCTAGTTAAGGAGGGCAAAGAAGAATGACATAAGGTATGCCAAAAGGTAAAGGGTTTTTCTTCTTTGACCAAGTAATAATAGCAAGGGAAGAGCCAACTGATTAAACTATCAATGTGCCATCTCCCTTTAAAGACTCTGTACTTCCAGAATCAAATTAGAGACTAGAAAACACTTTCACTTGCTCCTGAGATTGAATTTCCACAGAAGGGAACTGCCCTGGAACCCCCCACACCCTGCCTAAACTGCACCTTATCTTTGTTGTCCAGGAGAGCAGAAATCCGAGGACTTGATGACGACCGGTAGATGGAAGAGCCTCGGTCCCTTAGAGCTTCCCTGGGATTGGCCACCTCACTCAACATGTTGTGGCTGCCAGTTTTTCTGAGTCCCAGTCTCCACGAAGAAGGAGATTCATCTTTGGGTTCTTCCGGCTTGTTAAAAAGGCTGGAGGAAAACTAGAGGGAAGAAGCAAAGAAAAGAGGAAAAAAAGGTCCTGGTGATTCTTTTCAGCCTACTCGCCTTTTCCCACACTTAACTAAGTTCAATGAGGCAACATAAGGCAGTCCAAGGAGAACAAATATATGGCAGGCTTTCTGCCAATGTTCCCTTCCTCACCTGGCAGACGCTAATAACCGCTCAAGGCTCCCTTTCTCCCTGAGCCAGAAATAGCCTCAGATTCTTAACACAGTACTTCTACTGACAGAGTTGCTCTCTGAGAAATTAAACACTATTTGCTCTCTTACCAATGAGTACTGACCTAGAACACCAGGAGATCCACGTTCTAGTAAAAACATCTTCTCTTGCTTGACTCATTGTGTAACTGAAAATAGGACATTTTACTTCTCTAGGTCTCAATATGCTCACCTGTAAAATGGTAATAATGAGCTTAATTCCTTCTTACAGTATGTGGAGACTAGAAAACACAGAGGAGCTTTAAGGTACCGCGATAACTGTGGTAAGCTGATTTAGGTTGATACTAATAAAAATACTAAAATTCACTTCACTCAGATTCTAATTGCTTATTTTAAGGAAATAGCTTATTTGATCTTGGAAGCAGTTCCAAGTGTTTCAGATTTCACCAAGCAGCAAAATTAAAAAAGAAAAAAATGGTAGATGTCATAGAGTTGCCATCTTTTAGCTTTTGCCAGGAGAACATCTTTCAAAAACTTGATTACCATCTCTATCACCATCATTTCATTAAAAAAAGAAAAACATTTTGGGGTGCCTGGGTGACTCAGTTAAGCATCTGCTTTTGGCTCAAGTCATGATCTCAGGGTCCTCTGAGATCCTGTGTCAGGCTCCCTGCTCAGTAGAGAGCTTGCTTCTCCTCCCTCTGCCTCTTGTGCTGTATCTCAAATAACTAAATAAAAATCTTTAGAAAAGATTTTAAAAAGAAAAACATTTTAACTTCGGAAAAGAAAGCTTTCTGGAAAGCTTACATTGTCTGTAATTACCTCATTTTGCTATAAACCATAGAAAACATCATAGACTAGTATTAGCCCAAACACCAGTCTGAAGTAAAACTGGTCTTTAGAACAGCAGCCAACAGTCCTTCCCTGGAATCTGGGGGACCTCTGCAAGACGGCTTTGGTGTTTCACCAGATATCAGGCCACCTTTACTGCCTGGTATAGTGAAAATGCAATAGAAACTCTAAATCATTCGTCTCCAGCTCACACTCAGATTTTCTCTTTTAATGTCATCTCAATGTGTGTGTGTGTGTGTGTGTGTGTGTGTGTGTGTGTGTGTGTATTTTTTAAAGATTTTATTTATTTATTCATGATAGACGTAGGGGGAGAGAGAGGCAGAGACACAGGCAGAGGGAGAAGCAGGCTCCATGCAGGGAGCCTGATGTGGGACCTGATCCCGGGGCTCCAGAATCACGCCCTGGGCCAAAGGCAGGCACTAAACCGCTGAGCCACCCAGGGATCCCCTCAATGTATATATTTATGTACTCCTTCCAGCTTTAGAAGCTCAATCATGTCAGCTCTTTAAAAGCCACCCTGATTCTGAGAGGAAAAATGCCTTTTCCAGCATTATTTTAGCAAAGTGTAATAAGTATACGTTTTTTTATTTTATTTTATTTTATTTTTTTAAAGTAAGCTCAATGGCCAATCTGGGGCTTGAACTCATGACCTGGAGATCAAGAGTTACATGCTCTACTGACTGAGCTAGCCAGGTGCTCATGTATTTTTTTAGATTTTTATTTAGTATTTGTCTTTTAAAAAAGCAAGAAGTCTAGGGGCACCTGGTTGGCTCCGTCAGTTATGCATCTGACACTTGATTTTGTTCCGCTGGCTTAGGTCATGATCTCAGGGTCCTGAGATCAAGCCCTGCATTGAGTCCTGCACTGGGCTCCCCACTGTGCATGGAACCTGCTTAAGATTCTCTTTCCCTCTCCCTCTGTTCATATGCATGCTATCTTCAAAAATAAACAAAAAAAATTTTTTTGAATTTTAAAAAAGCAAAAAGTCTAGTCATACCTAGAAGCAGTGGGAGTATGTGAGGTACAGCTAAATGACCGGGTAATGAGCGGGGGGAATTCTATCTGAAACATCTCTACAGATTCACAGTGATGCTCGTAGGAAGCCAGGCCTTTGTTTCCTCATCTCTACAATGATACTGTAATCCTGTCTTTTCAATTCATGAGGTACTATAAAGATCAGGAAGTTAGTATCCATAAAACCACAGAGTTTTTTCAATAGCTTTCTTCCCAAGAACTCATATCAATTCTTAATCTCAAAACTAATTGTATTAGTTGTTCAACAATTTCTTTCTACCTCTGCTCTCTACTCATTATGATGAGTAGCGTATGATGAGTACCATACTCTACTTATGAAAGTAAAATTTTAAACAGGAAGTAAAAAAAGGACCTAAGTCATCAAATCAATTAATACTGAATGTTAGATATCTTCCTAGCCCACTCTGAGTTTTTCACATACTCACCTTACTTAGCCTTGAATGGGCAATGGACAAAGTTTCTTTGGTCCCAAATTATTATATCCTATGTTATCTAAATACATTGTAGCCAAATTTGTTTAGTGATAGATCTGTAGCTTTTATGGGCACTGTTATAAATGCAATGTTTATGTACCTCCCCATCCATACCTTGAAGCCCTAATCTCCAATGTGACTATATTTGGAGATAAGGTAGCTGTCTGCAAACTAGGAAGAGAGTCCTCACTAGCAACTGATTCAGCTGGCCTCATGATCTTGGACATCCTAGCCTCCAGAATTGTGAGAAATAAATTTCTATTGTTTAAAGTTACACAATTGGTGATATTTTGCTATGCCAGCCTAACCAGACTAGGACAGGTAAGATGTATCTGTATTATCTTGCAAGACTGTATCTTTAAAGCCTTTCAAAGTATGTTATCATAGCAGGAGAAATATAATATTCATACTATATTTGCAAAATACTCACTCTCCTAGCTGAAGAGGCAGAGAAGGTATTCTGAGCTGGTGTTGGTATCTGTTCCGTGATAATACTCTTGCTTTCAGAGTTGGAATGGTTGACAATGGCTTCTGGCTTTTTATCTATTATTTAAGACAAGAGAAGCATCAAGTGCAAGTATGAAAACCTTATCTGTATATATGCACTTTTCTGCTAACGGAAAAGGTTTAACCATTATCAAAACAGATTACTAGGGCTATGTAATGCTTGGACTTAAACTAAAATGAAATCTCTAGCTACTGTTGCTAAAAGGAAATAAAGTCAGTAGTAAAATTCCTTTCTTGTAGGCTCCAATTCCCAGATATGTAACTGAAAACTTTCTCCACATTATGTATCCTATACAAAATTCATCAGTAAGTACATAATAAGAATCTACTCTGTTTTGGGAGATTGGGCAGGAAAAACCAGATACATCTTGCTTTGTGGGTAATTAGAAGCATGACAAGAGATAAGATGTATAATAGTAATAGTAACAACACAAGATTATATATAAGTTAGGTGCTAAATTGGTTGAGTTGGATCAACAGGGCTTTATGAGCCCAGAGTAAATCCTCTGAGGGAGGAAACAACAAGGAAAGATGCCATAGAGAAAGCTGGAAGACAAATGCCAACTGGTAGGAGGAAGAAAGGGTATGAGTAATGACTCAAATACACCCATCTGTTGTTCAGTAAATTTAAGCTTAAGTAGGCCTAATTTAAGGAGGCCTAATTAAAGTAATGAATATTCTTGGAATTACAATAGGAAATAAAGGTAGAAAGGATTACAGAGGATATTGTGAGTTAAGCTATAGAACTATAGTAGGCAAACCCTCTTAATAAACAGCAGTCCACCTTAAAGGTCCATTACATGGAAACTGTCTCGTTCGCTGCTACATCAGTGCCTGCACCCAGGAGGTGTGGTGGGGCCTTCTAAACTATGTTCTCTGGAAACAGGGCCCCAGGGTAATCCACCTATGAATTACATGACAATTTTAAGCCATGTTCTAACTGTGTGACATTGGGCAAATTACTTAACATATATGAACCTCTATTTTCTCACTGATTAATCAGGGATTTTAATTCTTGCCTATAGAGATAATGTTTTAAATTGCATCGTTGTCCATATAACTCTGGCCATAGTGAGTTGGCCATCATTTCTTGTGGTTATTGTGAATATTCAAGGTATTCTTTAAATATTACCTGAAGGGATGCCTGGGTGGCTCAGAGGCTGAGTGTCTGCCTCTGGCCCAAGGCGTGACCCCGGGGTCCTGGGATCAAGTCCTGCATCGGGCTCCCTGCAGGGAGCCTGCTTCTCCCTCTGCCTATGTCTCTGCCTCTCTCTCTCTCTCCGTATCTCTCATGAATAAATAAATAAAATCTTTTTTAAAAAAACAACACTTTATTTTATAAATATATATATTTATAAGTAATATATATTTATAAAATAATCATATATAAATATATAACATATTATAATTATATATACTTATAAATATAATTATAAATATAATTATATATATTATATATAATATATTTTATATTATATATATATATATATATATATATATATATATATATATATAATCTGAATATCTCTATCCCCAAGAAGTATACCTTACTAGCCAAATGTGACAGCTTACAGTAAGAAATCCCCATGAATCTAGACCTCTGGGTAGTGGCCTTTCAGATTGACCCTGGGCTTGGCAAGGTGACCTTCTATGGCCTCTGGGACATTAGTAAATGTGACACAGCAGAGGCTTGGAAAGTGGTTGTGCACTGAGCCTTGCCCTCTCTTCTTGTGGAATCCAACTGCCGTGTGAAGAAGTAGGGGCTAGTCTCCTTGATGAACATGGTTCACTTGCCTCAAATATCCTAATCAACTACCAGAAAGGTAAGACCATCCAGGACCAGCCATCCCCTAGCTGACTTACCAACTGACCACCAGCACATGAGTAAGCCCAGTATTACCACGTGGAGCAGAGAAAAGCCATCCCAGTGAAGTCCTTCCTAAACTGCCAACCAATAGAGTCGTGTCTATATGTTATTTAAAACACTACTAAATTTGGGGATGGCTTGTCATTTAGCAATAGGTAACTAATATACCAAATGTTTAAGTCGAAAATAGAAATCCAAATCAAACTACTTACATTTACCTCAAAATAGAATTACTATTCTTTACAACTACATTTATATGTAAGGCACATGGAAACTGTCATTTTATGAGGTCGTATCTGTGGATCTTTAAAAACAGGATAAGCACATTCAATAAATACTTGTTCAGTACATAATGTGTTGGGCATCATTTGGAAAGGTTTAGACATACTTCAGTTCCCCACATTCTTCCAATATACACTTAGGTAACATATATTTATTGAGCACCTACCATGTAGAAGGCCCAGTGCTAGGCATTATGGAAGACAGAAAGATAAACAAGACACACAATACATTTCAGTGCTTCTGAAACTTGCTGGTGGGGGAAGAAGGGAGGAGATGAGAAAGAAATAACACTAATATTAGCTAGTCTAAGTAATATAAAAGAGGTTCAAACAAATAGCTACCAGTCAGAGGAGGGGAGAAAAACTTGTATCTGTGATGATAAGGCTTCATAAAGGAAGCTGATTTGAGCTGGGCTTTGAAACATGAATAAAGCTTCAAGTGGCAGAAATGAGCAGGGAAGCTTGCTGGACCCAGGCTTCTGCCTACCTCAGGCTACACAAAGTGCTAACTGCAGCCTCTTTCTTGACCTCTCCCTTCCCACTCCTACCCTGGCTTTTGTGATGCAGAAAACACACATCCTGTTTTTCCTCAACCTCTCTGACCACATCTTCTTTGCCTCCTTCACTTCCTAAACAGGATGCCCCATGATTCTTTTTTGTACATCTTTTCTCTATAATCTCTTCCCTTGGGAAATCTCATCCTTTTCCATACCTTTAGCTTCCATTTTTTTTTAGGGAGATAATCTCCACATTTCACTCTGCCCCTGCTTCTCTGAGGAGTCCCAGGATCTCAGGCACACCACTCACCAGCTATGAAACCCAGTTTGCCTCACCCCTTACAGGGTCAATTTCCCACTCTAAAATGTGGTGAAAATAAATCCCTCAGGGTGTGGTTGTAAGTGCAATGCAGAGTAAAAAGCACTACCCCAAAAAAAAATTTTTTAAAAATAAATTAAAAAAAAAAAGCACTACCCAAATGTAAAGTGTCATTATAATCCCCCAAACTAAATATAATCTTTCTTACTAGTGAATACCAATGACTACGTTTATACCTCTCATGTGGCATGTATTTTATTCATGTATATGCCTTCCTATTTCCGTGTATCCCCTAGATATATCCAACAAAAGCATTTAATGAATGTGAATGTGCGTCCTGTGTTGGGCATCATGCAGAGACCTAGGAGTAAATGATAACCCTAGAGTTCCCAGCCGAAACGTTAAGTGCTACAACAGATAAGTATGAAGTGCTAGAGGGATACAAACAGGGGAGCAATTATGTTCAGGGGAGAACAGTGAGGTGGTTCACTCCTTTTCAGTTTTTGGTATAGGAAAACCTAAAGGAAGGCCTCTTCATCCTGGTAAATCCCATGGCTTCTAACAGAAATCACTCAGTAAGCATTTGATGGTCAGAAGTGAATTCCAAGGTGCAAATAAATCCTCAGGGATAGGAAAGCCCAGGGCATGTTTGGGGAAACCAAGCAATCCAGCTTGGTTAGTAGATGACACTGCTGATGGACAACACTGGAAAGGTCAGCTGAAGATACATTATGAGAGATCTTGAAGGTCAGGCTACAGGACTTGGGATTTATACTACAGGCAAAGATGGTTGTGGGGAAAGTGGTTGTAGATGGTTTCTGGACAGAAGTCATCAAAGGTATAGTATAATCAAAGGGTGTTTGGGGCACGTAGGTGGCTCAGTGGTTACTCTTTTCTCAGTGTTTGCCTGCCTGTATATCATAATCTAGGGGTGATTCTACAGCTTATTGATCTGACCATGTTCAGCACCTCACCCTCCCTGTTGGGCTTCTTGTCTTGCCGTATGATAAACTTAAGAGATGCCATATGAAGCATATATAATATCAACAAGAGTCATAAAGGTAAATATGATTTTGTTCCTTCTTCAATGCCCAACTCAGGAATTGAAGGACCTTCGTGTAATCAGAAGGAAAATGAAGGAAATCAGAATCTTGGGATTCTGTTTAGGGAATCAGATGAACCTGAGAATTAAATGCAAATTTTCACCAGCTGGTTAAGGATACTTGACCAAATGTGCCTCTGCAAGATCTTACCTCCTCAGCCTCTAAGCATACTGAATTTTAGAATCTGGTCTCTACACTCTACCAACCCAAGATCAGACAGCTGGCTCTTTTACACAATATTTTTGGAAGGTACTTGGGTGGCTCAGTTGGTTGAGCATCCAATTCTTGATTTCTGCTCAGGTCATGATCTCAAGGTCATGGGATCAAACCCACCTTTGAGCTCCGAGCTCAGCACAGAATTGGCTGGAGATTCTCTCCTTCTCCCCTTCCTTGCCTGCTCACAGACATATGCATGTGTGTGGGGGCTCTCTCATTCTCTCTCAACAAAATAAATAAATCTTTTTTAAAAAAGGAATTTTTTTGTGCGCCTTAGCATATGGCTACATAGAAACTAGTACACATATTCTAACATAGCTTACAGCTTTCACAACAAAGTTTTCACTTGAAATTCGGTACCTTATCTTTGAACACTAACCTTGAAGCTCTTTTTGGAGCCCTCTGAGGCTCTAACTTAGCTCTGACAAGCAGTGACCTCCCTGCAGTATGGAGACAGAGGTTCTGTGCTATCAACACATTGGCATTACCTGCCTCCTTCTCAGCTTCTGACTCAGAAGCTTCATCTTCACCCTCCTCCTCCTCCTCGGAGCTGGAGCTGCTGGACTCTTTGCTTTCTTCCTCCATTTCTTGGGACTTGGGTATCTCTTCTTCATAGAGCATCTTCTCTTTGCTAAATTAAAGATGACAATTTGAGTGTAGCTCAGAAATGGCAAACTATTTAAGTTCACTGACAATCATAAGGAGAATAAATCCTTCTTTACATCTACCTTTTTCTGAATTCCTGGGTTTTTGCAGATTGAGGTTCAGCATTTGACTTCAGAGTATTACTCAAATAAATCTAGCCCATTCAACACACAAGAAAAACGAGGGCCATGAATCTTAACAGTGATTAGGCAGGTAAGTATTTTCAAAAAGTCATTTAACAAATGTTTACAGAGTGCTTATTACAGGCCAGGAATCATCCTAGGCCCTGGTACAGTGGTAAACAAAATACACATGGTCCCTGAGTTCATAGAACTTAAGAGTTTCACAGAACTTAGAGTTAGTGATGCAACTAGGACTAGGAACCCCTAAGCTGGTGGGGAAATGTATACAGTCTCAATTAATTTCTAAATTTAAAACACATTCACCCGGGATGCCTGGGTGACTCAGTGGTTGAGCCTCTACCTTCAGCTCAGGTTGTGACCCCAGGGTCCTGGGATGGAGCCCCGTATCCCCTGGCATCAGACTCCCTGCTCAGCAGGGAGCCTGCTTCTTCCTCCCCTCTGCCCATAATTGCATGTGCTCTCTCTCAAACAAATAATAATAAAAAAAAAATACCACATTCATCCATCCTCAGTATCTCCTCCATATATCAATGCCACCTTCTTGCCTCTCAAACATCCCACGTGTTCAAAGATCATTTGGCTTAAGCTGAACACAGTTTCTTTACTGTATAAATTCTTAAACCAAGTACGTCATACACACATATGCACCCACACACACACCAGAGCTCATCACATTTCCCAAGCCGTGAATGTCTTACTTCTTAAAGAGTCCACTCTGTAACTTGCTGTTCAGGTCTGACTCAATGAGCTTATTCCGTGTCTCTTTTTCACTTCGAAGCTGGAAATTGAGAAAACAAGAGAGGAAAGGGAAGAAGTTGACTATTAGTAAAAATCAGCAGCAATGAGAACTCAAAATAGTACTGTTATTCTGAAGAAAACAGGACCGACACCAAAAGGGGAAGAAAGAACTGAGAAAAAGAGGAACCCATCGGTTGGGCCTCCTTAGAAGACAATAACAGAGAAAATTCCTCATCCAAGGTAAGAGAAAAATCATGGTGTTAGAGCTTCAATAAAACTGCTCTTATCAAATATCCAAACCCAAATCTCAAAAAAACTCTGGCTTCTAAGGGAAGCTAGCTGGCTCAGTTGGAAGAACATGTAACTCTTGATTTGGGGGTTGTGACTTCGAGCCTCATGTTGGGTGTAGAGAGATTACTAAAAAAATAAATAAATAAACTTAAAAAGGGGGGGGGAGGGGAAGCCTGGCTTCTGATGGATTAGAAAAGGCAAGTGTGGAGGGGAGAAACTTTCAAAGAATTCTTGATGACCATACACTGAATTAGGCTGGCAATAGTTCTCAAGAAAAAAAAAATAGGTATTCAAGGGGAAATAAGTCCTTAGAATAAATTGGTATTTAGATATATGCTCTAGAAAAAAATGAGTTTATATCCCTGGACCCCAAAGTTATGCAGGAAGCAAAGATGAGAACCATTCCTAGTGTAGAAATGTCATTTAGTGAAATATTATTTATGTTCAAATACCAAACCATGCTGGGTATATTATTTTTGCAACTTCTTTTTTATTTTTTATTTTTTTATTTTTAAAAAAAATTTTTTAAATTTTTTATTTATTTATGATAGTCACAGAGAGAGAAAGAGAGGCAGAGACACAGGCAGAGGGAGAAGCAGGCTCCATGCACCGGGAGCCCGATGTGGGATTCGATCCTGGGTCTCCAGGATCGCGCCCCAGGCCAAAGGCAGGGGCCAAACCACTGCGCCACCCAGGGACCCTTATTTTTGCAACTTCTATGTGAGTCTAAAAATTATTTCAGAATAAAAAGTTTAAAAAACTACAAAAACCTAACTAAGTGAAGTATATATCTTAGGAAGGCTGATGCTGCTAGAGAACAGCTCTGATTCTGTGTGTGGTGAGTCCTAAGTCTGTCTAGATTCCAGCTATTCACCAAAGAAAACAAAATGAACTGAAAGTTGTGTTTGTCTGAACTTTATATATGCAATTTTCCCAATAAGCCTTGAAGTCAGGAGGATCTTCACTCTACCGGTCCAGACATGATAGAGTTGATCTGTCCTACCTGTGAACTCCACAGTTCTTTCTTTCAGAACCACTCTAAGTTTCTCTCTTTGTCCTAAACTTGAGTTCACATGCCTTGAGCCACAACACATGCAAAGGAAAACACAAAGGAAAGCTAGTGATTTTTTTCTGTCCCACTCTGTTCAGACATCAGCCCTGATCATCAGTAGCTGATCTTTATTCTCCTTGCCCAAATTACTCATGCCACTTACAGGTAGAAAATGTGAATTATTCACTGTGTATCTTGAGGTTTGGTTGGGTTTTTTTCATTCTGCACTCGGTACATGGGTACCATACTTAGGTAGCTCTCCTATACAGCACTAAGCAACAGAATGGTACGTGCAAGCAAAAAATAAAAAATTTAGAATGAGAAGGGAGGATTGAATTCTGAGTATCTGATAAATCCTGAATACGTATGAATCACTGACCAAGTACTGTCCAATGCCAAAAGACAGGTTTAGTTTGTGGCCCCAGTTGCTTTGTTAAGAAAGAAATATATTCCTCTCTGTAATGAATTCACTTTAAATAAAGATGTCCTTTCAGTCAATAAGGGAAGAAAAAAGTTATGAGATGTCCTCTACCTTGGTACTCTCTATTTGGAAAAGACTCTGATTTGAGTACACCACATTCACTTTCTAGAACTCAATTGTAATTATCAGTTTGTTGTTCTTGTCATTTTTTTATTTTCAGCTGCTTGAAGGCTACCTTTTAACGAGTGAACTTTAACAACAAATGGCTTCTGGGATATTTTCTAGCAGACTGTTGCTAGTCCCTGAGGGAACAATTACCATCTCCAAAATGTAGATATGCCCATTTCAGCTCTCAGGAGACATAACTAAAACAAGTGACTGAGGTACCTGGTACGGACTGCACTGTTACAAAAGCTTTAAAAGCATTAACCAAAGACTTACCACATTCTGCTTCTTCTGGAGCATCTCCAAGTGCTCCACAAGCCCTTCATCAGCCACATCAAATGGTGTCTGGCCCTGGCAGAGAAACGTGTACCATGGTCAACAGAAAACAGAAGTACTGAGGTTGTGACTCTATCAGAGAACTATTCAATATCCACTTTATGCCTTTGTTCCAGTGATAGCTGCTTCCCTAACTTATCTACTCGACATTATAGTAACGCCGTCATCTATCACAGAGGAAACATCATAAGAAACAGCAAGTCCGCTGGGGCACCTGGGTGGCTCGGTTGGTTAAGCGTCCAACTCTTCATTTTGGCTCAGGCACGATCTCAGGGTCATGAGATCAAGCCCTCAGGCAGGCTCCATGTGTGGAGCCTACTGAAGATTCTCTCAGTTTCTCCCACTCTGCACACCCCCCACCCTGCTTGAACACATACTCTTTTCCTTTAAAACAAAACGAAACTCAGCAAGTCTTTTAAATATATGTTTTTATATTTTATAAAACAGTATTGAGGAAATCACCATATTATCTCTAATGCTTATTGCCTCTTGGCAAATAATCAATTGAAATCTCTACTTGTACCTGTTTTAAAATGGTCTTAATTGCTACAATAAATCCAGTAAAGGGCTTTTAAAAGCCTCGGAAAGAGGGTACACATGTGCACTAAAGATTAAGTCATAGCAGTCATGCCCCTTTAAGTGAGAGAAGAGTGTCTCTTTTAAGAAACATCAGCACAGTTCAGGACCCTAGCCAATATCGGGGGATGAAAGCCAGGTTCAGGAAAGACGTGAGGCAGGTAAGAACAGCTACTAAATAACAAGCCATGGCTCTGGATGCTCTGGATTCCTAGAAAATCACTAGATGTAGAGATAGGAGTTCTAGGGCCTCTAAAGTTGCTTGAAGTGAGGCTGAATAACTATTTTTAGCCATACTCAAGGATTTTTGTCATTATATATATATATTTTAATATTTTATATATTTATTCATGAGAGACACACAGAGAGAGGCAGAGACAGGCAGAGGGAGAAGCAGGCTCCATGCGGGGATGCGGAACTCGATCCCAGGACTCCGGGGTCACATCCTGAGCCAAAGGCAGACAGATGCTCAACCGCTGAGCCACCCAGGCGCCCAATAATGTTTTTTTAAAGACTGGATGAGAATAGAGCTCAGGCTATCAAAAGTGTTTGAATTAAAAATAAAGTAAAATAAAACCTTTCATACTTCACCAGACAGCAATCTTAGGATTTCCTAATGCCCATTTTTGCCAAGAGCAAATATCTTTTTTTCCTATTTATTTTAGGGGCTTAAACATAAACAGAATCAGAATGCTGATCAGTAGAGTCTTATTTTATATAGCGAACATCTCTGTGTTGATAATGCGGCAGTGGGCAGCGAGGAGGCTGTGAGGAACAGAGCAGAGCCATAGCTACCTGTGATGTGTATTTCCCCGGACAGGAAGCCCCGGCCATTTAACTGAGATTTTAAGCCTTTTGTTCTAGAGACGTAGTCACCAATTTCACTGGCCTTTCAGAGTCAGGCATACTAACCAGCTTGTTCCTGACATCCATGTCACAGAGTGCTTCTGCCAGGATGGAGCAAGCCTCCTTCACTCCCCAGTGTGCAGCAGCATGGAGGGGAGTCCAGCCATCGTAATCCTGAACATTGAGTTCATAGCCAGCCTGGATTAAAAGTCTAAGAAGAAAACCCCAAACAAGACATTTATACCCTCTATATTACAGCTTCCTGCTGAATAAACTATCACCTGATTGGTGTTTCAGATTTTGGCTCTGAACCACTGGGAAGCTGTGATCACTTCTGTCCTCTAAGGCACAACTCGGGCTTCACAGTTCCTACACTGAGAACCAACCACACAGAGCAGTTATCAATCCACTCTGAAAGGTCACAGGGTATTTCCCAGGCACATCTGCGTGATGCCACATAAGAGGAGTGTTTAGAAAGGCGTACACCTCTGAGATTCACTAAAGCCTAACTAAATCTGCCAAACCACACAACTCTGCTACAAGGTGTGTTTTCCATTCCCCAGTATGAGGAAAGAACATCTAAAATGAGAACTCCATTCTCTTCGGGGCACTTTACTTACTAACTTTCCAGTTGATCTTCACAGGAACTCATACATTTACTGCAGACCCTCAAGCTCCCAACTCTGCAAAGTATTTGCAGGGACTTCTTGCTAACTACAAAGCTATAATCTGTGTGCGTAAAGGAAGAAAAGTAGGACTCCTGAGGCCCCAAACTGTACTGGCCTGATTGAGGCTACCTATATCACGGGCCTCCAGACACCTAAGAAGTGAGCAGAATATGAATGTCACTCTCAGGCAGAGACAGTCTACCGACATACTGTCACGCCTTTTAGAAACCGCAGAGTAGGTGGGATACGAAGCTCTGGAGGATTCTGGCAACAGCCCCACAGACAATGCTATTTGCTACCCATGTATTTGGGAAAGTCTGTCAACAGTAAGCACCAAAAGCTACATTAGCGTGTATGGATGTAAGGAAAATCGGAGCACGTAGAGGAGCAGAATCCAAATTCCCTCATGCCAGTTTAACTATCCTACTCTAATGGGACCCTACACACTCAAGACCTGTAGCATTCATCTAAGGAAACCAAAGAAATTATCTGTGTCCAAAAAGGACCCAAATGATCACAAGTCACCAGAGGAGGAGCCTGCAGGAATCTTAATGATAAATCATAGAACTGGAAGAGATCACGTAAGATCATCTTCTAGGCCAGTGAACCTCAACCGTGTTTCGTATCATACAGTCAGTGAGAAGCTAGAGTGACAGCAGGAGGGTGGGAGACCATCTATGGATTAATATCAGCAATACATAAGTAAAAACCGCATGATCAGAGAGGAAAACAATTAAGAAAGAAACACATTGTAGTTGAAAATCTAATTCAGCCCCTGCTCCCAAAACCCAGCTCATCTTCCCCTCGTCTACCAAACTCCTGATTAATGAAACGGACAATACCTGAGGACCTCAGAGTAGCCCTTGGCAGCAGCCACATGGAGGGCTGTGGCCCCTGAGCGAGGCTGCCTTACATCCTCTATTTTCCCACTGTTGAGCCACTGGCGGGCATCCTGTAACATCTGTTGCTCCTCTTCTTTTCTTGACTGCTCTAGATCAACTCCTGCAGAAACCGGATAGCCAGCATTAGTAAAGGTCCATTTAAATCTGACAGGATATTTCCCTTAGATTCTAAATACATCATAAAAAAACTACAAATAACAGTTTAGTCATCAAGTTGGGTATTCATCAAATTTACTCTTTATTTAGATGAGCAATGACATTTATACACATATTAGTAGTTTTACTAGGGTTAAATCATCATTTTAAATACTGTGTGATGGCAGATCCATTAAAGGAACATGATTAAAATTGTCTTCAATTTTAAGAACATAAAGACCAAGGTGGACATTAGTTTTGTATGATGGTATTTGTACAACGCTACACACTTCAAAAGCCTTTTACATATTAAACTATTTTAGCTTTTCAATAATCCTTTGAGGTAAATATAATAGATATTATTGTCACCATTTAACAGATGAGGAAATAAACATAGAAAGGCTAGGTGCCTTGCTCAAAGTCACAAAACATACTAGAACTGTCACTGGAACTCTGACATCCTGGGTCCCGGGCCATTGCTCTTTCCCACTTACTACTCCGTAAGACTCGTATCAAAGAATCTTGGTTTCAGGTATGGTATACTTTAAACACTAATCTACTTCTAATGCTCATTTCCATAGTAGGGAAATACACTGACTTGAAGCTATATAACCTAGACCAGCGGAGTAGGTCACGTGCAGTTAAAACTTCCAAGGGAATGCAGCTTTTGTTTTGCTTTAAAACATTATAGAGGGATGCCTGGGTGGCTCAGTGGTTAAACACCTGCCTTTGGCCCAGGGTGTGATCCTGGGGTCCTAGGACTGAGTCCCTGCATCAGGCTCCCTATGCATCGGGCGTCCTGCGTGGAGCTTGCTTCTCCCTCTGCCTGTGTCTCTGCCTCTCTCTCTGTGTCTCTCAGGAATAAATAAATAACGTCTTTAAAAATAAATAAATAAAACATTATAGAGAACTCCAAAAAGTTCCTCCCTTTAGCCAGCAACTCCCCAACATCCGTGCCACTGAAAAGGGGCTGGAGTGGGGCATTCCCCTTATATAAAATAAGGACATGTCCCAAATACAAACATACCCATCCAAAGAGTTCTATACTCATAAGCAGGCTTTATCTGTGCTTGGTCTACTCCTTTTCAACTCACTTAAAAAAATAAATTAAATAAATAAAAACCTATGAACTATCTAAGGATTACCTGTCTGATTTAGGGAGACAGATGGGGTAAAACGGTATGCAATTTATTTTATTTCTTTTTTTTCTAGCATCACTGAGATATAATAGACATATAACAACACTGTGTAAGTTAAACTTGTATAACATGTTGATGTGATACTTATATATTGCAAAATGATCACTACAATAAAGTTAGTTAACAACAGCATCACCTCACATAGTTACCATTTCTTTTTTGTGCTGGGAACATTTAAGATAGCTCAGCAACATTCAAGTTCATAATACAGAATTGTTTTTTTAAGATTTATTTATTTATTCATTCAGAGAGAGCGAGAGAGAGGCAGAGACACAGGCAGAGGGAGAAGCAGGCTCCACGCAGGACGCCGACATGGGACTGGATCCCGGGTCTCCAGGATCACGCCCTGGGCTGAAGGCGGCGCTAAGCCGCTGAGCCACCGGGGCTGCCCGAGATTTTTTTTTTTAAAGATTTATTTGAGTGAGGAGGGGCAGAAGGAAAAGGAAAGTGAATCCTCAAGCAGACTCCCGCTGAACAAGGAGCCCAACCTGGGGCTCAATCCCAGGACCCTGAGATAAAGAGTCAGACACTTGACCAACTGAGCCACCCAGGCACCCATCTCTTTGAGAGCTTAGTTTTATTTTCTTCAGTTATATACCCTGAAGTGGAACTGCTGGGTCATATGGTAGTACTATTTTTAATTTTTTTGAGGAAATTCCATACAGTTTTCCATAGTTGTTGTACCAATTTACATTCACACCAACTGTGTACAAGAGTTCCCTTTTCTCCACAGCCTTGCCAACACTTACTGTCTTTTTAATAATCGCCATTTGAAAAAAATATAGCCATTTGAATAGGTGTGAGGTGATATCTCAGTGGTTTTGATCTCCATTTCCCTGATGGTTAGTTATACTGAATATCTTCTCATGAACCCGTTGGTAATTTGTATGTCTTTGAAAAAATGTCTATCCAGTTCCTCCGCCCATTTTTTGGTTTTGCTTTTACTATTGAGTTGTATGAGTTCCTTATATATTTATCAGATACATGATTTGCAGATACTTTTTCCCATTCTCTAGGATATCTTTATTTTGTATATTTCGTTGTGCAGAATATTCTTAGTTTGATATGGATCTGCTTGTTTTTGCTTTTGGTTGCTTGTGCTTTTGGTGTCATATCCCAAAAACTTGTCAAGACCAATGTCAAGGAGGTTTTTCCCCCATGTTTTCTTCTAGGAGTTTTATAGCTTTAGGTCATATGCATTAGTCTTAATTCCATTTTGAGTTAATTTTTGTTAGTATTTTTTTTTAATTTTTTAAAAGATTTTATTTATTTTTATTCATAGAGATGCAGAGAGAAAGAGAGAGAGAGGCAGAGACACAGGCACCATGTGAGAGGCACCATGCAGAGAGCCTGACGTGGGACTCGATCCTCGGTCTCCAGCATCACACCCCAGGCTGCAGGCGGTGCTAAGCCGCTGCGCCACCAGGGCTGACCAATTTTTGTTAGTATTTTTAAAAACGGGTCCCATTTTGTTTTTCTGCACGTGATTATCTAGTTTTCCCAACACCACTTATTGAAGAGACTGTCCCTTCCCTATTGAGTCTTCTTGGCTCTCTTGCTCAAATATTAGTTGATCATGTACATGATGGTTTATTGTTGTGCTCTTTATTCTGTTCCAGTGGTCTGTGTATCTATTTTTTTTTGAAGATTTTATTTATTTATTCATAGAGACACACACACACACACACACACACAGAGAGAGAGAGAGAGAGAGAGAGAGAGAGAGAGAGAGGCACAGATACAGGCAGAGGGAGAAGCAGGCTCCATGCAGGGATCCTGGGTCTCCAGGATCACGCCCTGGGCTGCAGGCGGCGCTAAACCGCTGCGCCACTGGGGCTGCCCTGTGTATCTATTTTTATGCCAGTACCATACTGTTTTGATTACTACAGCTTTGTAATCAGGAAGTATGATGCCTCCAGCTTTGTTCTTTTTCAGGATTGCTTTGGCTATCTGGAATCTTTGTAGCTCCATACAAATTTTAGGATTGTTTTTTCTACTTCTGTGAAAAATGCCTCTGAAATTTTGATTGGGATTGCACTGCATCTGTAGATGGCTTTGAGAAGTAGGGACATTTTAACAGTATTAATTCTTTCAATCCATGAACATGGGTGGATTTCCATTTATATGTGTCTTCTTCAGTTTCTTTCTTTTCAGATCTTTCACCTCCTTGATTAAACTTATTTCCAAGTAATTTATTGGTTTTTTTTTAAAGGTTTTATTTATGTATTCATGAGAGACACACAGAGAGAGGCAGATACATAGGCAGAGGGAGAAGCAGGCTCCCTGCAAGGAGCCCAATGTGGGACTCAATCCTAGGACTCTGGGATCACGCCCTGAGCTGAAGACAGACACTTAACCGCTGAGCCACCCAGGTGTCCCTAATTTATTGTTTTTAATGATCTTGTGAATGGGATTGTTTTATTTCTTTTTCAGATAGTTTGTTTTTTTTGTGTATAGAAATGCAATTGATTCCTGCATACTGATTTTGTATCCTGCAACTTTGCCAAATTTGTTGATTACTTCTAACAGTTTTTGTGGTAGTCTTCAAGATTTTCTATTCAGGAGATCATAATCATCTACAAACAAAGGAAATTTTAGTTCTTCCTTTCTGATTTGCATGCCTTTTATTTCCTTTTCTTGCTTGACTACTCTGGCTAGGGCTTCTAGTACTATGTTGAATAGAAGTGGTGAGAGTTGGCACCCTTGTTTTGTTCCTGATCATAGAGGAAAAATTGCAACCTTTCACCGATGAGTATGGTGTTAATTGTGGGCTTGTCATATGTGGCCTTTACTATGTTGAAATAATTCCTTCTATATCCAGTTTTTCAGAATTTTTACCATGAGAGGTCGTTGTATTTTGTCAAATTCTTTTTCTGCATTTGTTGAGATGATTTTTATCTTTCATTCTATTAATGTTGTGTATCATATTTATTGATTTTTCTGTTAAACCCTGCATCTTAGAGATCAATCCCACTTGATCATAGTGTATCATCTTTCTGTTGTGCTGTTGAGTTTGGTTTGCTAATATTCCGTTGAGAATTTTTGCATCTACATTCACCAGGGATATTGGCCTATAGTTTCCTTTTCTTGTACTGTCCTTATCTGGCTTTTGCATCAGTGTAATGCTGGCCTCATAAAATGAGTTTGAGAGCATTCTCTACTCTCCACCTTTTTTCAAAGAATTTGAGAACAATTGGTATTGATTCTTCTTTAAATGTTTGGTAGAATTCACCAGAGAAATCATCTGGTCCTGGGCTTTTCTTGTTTGACTACCAATTCAATCTCCTTATTTGTTATCAGTCTGTTCAGATTTTCTGTTTTTTTCCTAGTTCAGTCTTGGTAGGTTGTAAATTTCTAGGAGTTTATTCATTTCTTCTAGGTTATCCAATATGTGGGCATATAGTTGTTCACAGTAGTCTCTTACAATGCTTTGTATTTCTGTGCTATCAGTTGTAACGTCTCTTCTTTCATTTTATTTTATTTCAGTCTTTTCTTGTCTAGTTTAAGGTTTGTCAATTGTATTTATCTTTTCAAAAAACAGCTCTTAGTTCCATTGATCTTTTCTATTTTTTTTTCTGATCTCTGTTTCATTTATTTATGCTCTGATCTTTGTTATTTCCTTCCTTTTGCTAACTTTAGGCTTAGTTTATACCTTTTTCTAGTTCTCTGAAATGTAAAGGTGAGTTGTTTGTTTCAGGTATTTTTCCCCTAATGTAAGCATTTGTCACCATAAACTTCCCTCTAAGAACTGCTTCTGCTGCATTCCATACATTTTAGCATGCTGTGTTTCCAGTTTCATGTGTTTCGAGATATTTTAAAATGCTTCTTTTGATTTCTCCTTTGACCCACTAGTTGTTTAGTAGCATGTTGTATAATCTCCACATATTTGTTAGTTATTGATGGAATGTTCTACATATGCCTACTAGGTCCATAGGGTCTAAAGTATAGTTCAAGTCCAGTGTTTTCTGTTTGGATGACCTATCCATTGTTGACAGTGGGGTACTGAAGTGCCCTTCTATTATTGTATTATTGTCTATTTTTCCCTTCAGATCTGTATTTGTTTAATATGTTTAGGTATTCAAAGGTTGGGTGCATATGTATTTGTGACTGTTATATCCTCTTGATGAACTGAAAGAGGTATCTGATTTAGAACATACCAGAATTCCACACAGAGTAAACAGTGCTGCAAAACTGACCATACATTGAGTACCTCTTTCAACAGGAATATTCCTTAATTCAAGTTAGAAATCAAAATAGAAAAGTTGGTTTCTTGGGGTGCCTGGATGGCTCAGTCAGTTGAGTGTCTGGCTTATCATGATTTAGGCTCAGGTTACGATTTCATGGGTCGTGGGATCAAGCCCCTCATGGGGCTCTGTACTCAGCAGGGAGTCTGCTTGAGATTCTCTTCCTCTGCCTTCCGCCTTCTCTCTCTCAAATAAATAGATCATTTTTTTTAAGTTGGTTTCTTAAATCAAAGATAAATTTTTTTAAAGATTTTATTTATTTGTAAGAGACACACAGAGAGAGGCAGAAACACAGGCAGAGGGAGAAGCAGGCTAGGCTCCCTGCAGAGAGCCTGATGCAGGACTCAATCCCAGGACCCCAGGATCACGACCTGAGCCAAAAGCAGAGGCTCAACTGCTGAGCCGCCCAGGAGTCCCTTAAATCAAAGCTATTTTTAAAACCCATCTGTTAAAAAAAAAAAGTTTTTGTAAATTGTAATGCCAATCTTAGCATAAGGCTGAGTGAGACTGAATGGTAAATTTGTGTAAAGTTAATTCAAGGGGCACAAAAATTATACACGGGAAGGCAATAAAAACAAATATTTACTGCCCTAGAACATCATTATCATAAGGTAGGCATTGGCATACTTTCCACAAAAAGGCAGATATTAAATATTTTCCACTTTGTGGGACATTTGGTCTGTTCAACACTGTTGTAGTAGTGCCAATGCAGCTTCCAGGAATATGTGAACAAATGGATGTGACCAGGATTGGCCAGCCTATTCTAAAGGATCATATCAGGAAAGGGCACATGGGCTAAATCTCTTGAAATGAAGTGCAGACTGTGGGTAAGTTAACAAAAAGACTACAAATCACTGCAAATCATGTCCGCAACGTTTTTTGATGGTTCTTAAAAAATTCCTAAAACCTGTCCTCCCTGACATCCAACTATTTGCAGTATTTTTTTATTAAAAGAACACAGAGACCTTCAGGAAAATCCTGACTTATTCTCTGATATGAATTCTTCTGAAAGTTAAAATAAGTATTTATAGAGTTTATTCTTCTAAATCACAAACGACAGAATGATTTTCATGGTCAGTATGGTTAAGGATCATCTCAGAGGTTATAATACTTTCAGCAGCACCACTTTCAGCTCTCATCAAGAGAAAAGATGCAAAGTCATAAACAGAATTTGATAAACACTCAAATTTACATTGTATACCATCTTTTCTTTAGACTTTATAATATGTAGCAAAATCCAATACTATCTATGTGCACACAGTGAGAAACCTTCATGCTCCTCATCAGCCTAATTTGTATTATCAAAGAACACTGAGGTTCCTCCCAACTATCCAATGGGTATACATCCTCAGACATGGCAAATACAAGGAATGACCAGCCATCCTTTTGACATTTAGCCTATTCTTGTGTGAGTTATTAAGAGGATACATGATGTTGGTGATTGATCTCTAATGCTGTGCAGACAGATCTAATCCTCTCCTATCATTTGATAATGGAAAGCTCTATACAGCAAATGGATTATTTTCTAAGTGGCACGTTTGAGTCTCTCTAGGCCCCCTCAAATCACTTAGGTTACCTTGCTTCTTCACTTGCTCCAGAAGAAGATCCTTCATGGCGGGCTCTTCTGCAAGGTCAGAAGGGACTTCACCTTCACTATTCACAATACCCACACTGGCTCCATGGTTAATGAAATACCTGTGTAGACAAGATCCAGGATCTACATTATCTGTCAAATATCAATTTATGCTTGTGTATGTGGTCTTCAATGCAGAGCAAGGCCACTGTTTGCGGGTTTTATGGTTCCAGATATCGTTCCATTATTAAATTCTAACTCCAATAATTAGGACTGGAAGCTTCTCTATTTCATGACAAGCAATACCAACAAACTGGATTTCTTTCACACTCATATTCCTAACTTCTACCCTCTCACTCTCGCTGGATAGAAAGAGACTTTCTAAACATCAGAAGGAAGACATGGAGCCATAAAAACTCACCCACCATCCCTGAGGTCCAAACACAGATTCCCAAAAGGACTTACTTATATACTTGTAATGTTGGCAATAAGAGCCCTTGGAAGATCTGTATGCAAGTAATTCTCACAAAACTTTCTCAATGTCACATTAGAGTATATTAAATAGTGCTGAGAATGAATACAGAAAAATAATCAAATAAAATGTGCATGAATATGACTAAATTATGCCTCCACAAAACTCTCCCTGCAACCAGCCATCTACATGAAACCTTCTACACTCTAAGAGGAAACTAAATTACTAAAAAAATAAATAGTTAAATTCTAATTCTAAATAGTTAGGTTCTATTGAAATACAACACTCAGTCCTGAAGAAGAAAGGCCTGATCTTTTTAATACCCTAAATAGATCCTTTTTGATTTCTGAAGTGCTTTCACATAAAATTATATAATGTGTCAGGCAATCTTATGAAGTAGACAACATGGGCAGTACTACTCCACAAGAAATTGAGGTTCATATGTGTTGAGTCGTTTTCCTAAAATTATAGATGTGACAAATGACCAAGGTGGTGGCCCCAGCCTCCCATTTTTAAGTCTAGTTCATCTGTTCAGTTAGATCAAGTTGCTTTTGGGCCAGTAATGCTGGGAACTCTAGTGAATACTCAGAAGTATTTTAAAGTGGGAATGAAAAACTAATCAAATCGGATTTCAAGTAGGTGAAACATTTATTGGTCCCCTACTATGTTTAAGGTGCCACGTTTTAGATATCATAGATTTTCAAGAGATAGTCAAGATTATGGTCACTGTATACAAAGAGTTGGCAAAAGAGAAAGAATCAACAAAGACGATATTAAAATCATGTTTTTGTTTTCTCTGTGCCTAGTACCCGGTATAACAGAGCCTCAATAAACGTGAATTTCTAGCTCAACTGCACATATATAAAGTGCAAAAGCATTCCCGAGTCATCTAATTTTCAGTTGTCTCTGTCCTTCCCTCCCAGTCTCAGAGGAAGACACATTATTTTCAATTCGAAGGTTAATTCCCTGTATCCGCTTTCTTAACTCTATCAAGTACCAGTCCTCTCTGTCGTCAGTTACTCCTTCTTTTCCGCATATTCAACAGCTTCTCTCCTGGTTCCTCAACTTCAGGCCAAAGAAATATTCAATTATACCTCCTCCCACCTTGAAAAATCAAAATGGAAATAATCCACACAGTAAGCACCCCATTAAAGCTTTTTGGATTGAACTGTATCCCATACCCTCATCAAACTGAACCACTTAATGTTCCCAAAGACACCCCACGCTCACTTCAGCTCTCTTCCACAGCTCAAGTAATTTCCTCTACTGAAACACCCTCCCCATCCTATCCTTTTCCTTCTAGAAACTCCATGTCTCAAGGTCCATTTAAAATGCTTTTGCCTTCATGTGTGTGGCCTTTGCCTCTTCTCACCAACTGAATTTCTGTCTCCTTCCTCTCATTCCACTCTCTCCTCCCACCGCTCTCCCTCTGCTAAGACACTATTGATGCAACTGCCCAATTAGGCTGAAAGCTACTTGAGGGCAGAAACTGCGTCTTACTATTATTGTTGCTATGACATTCTGACATCATCTCTTTTCTCTCAGTGCTACATAAATATCACCTGAAATAAAGGAAACATCTTAACCACTTTGCTCTGACATCTATTGCATCCTTTACTGGGGCAGGACAATGTCACTTGGGTATGCAGGTCCCTGCTTTTCCCTTTTCTGACATGTTCTTATGCTTACCAACAAAAAGACTCTTTTCTAGAAAGCAATCTGGCTTACCACGAATCAGAGGTTACTGTTAAGAAAGGCTAGTTTTCTAGACCATTATTAGGAAAAAAAGAAGTAGAAGCCTGTTTAGTTTCACACTTCTACCTGAACAAGAATAAATATCAATCTATAAAGTAATACTTTATCCCTGAGAATCTTTATAATTACGCAGGGGCTCAGAAATACCCATTAGCTCAATAAATATGCCCTTTAGAAAATAAAGCCTTTCTACTCTTTCTAGCTCATCATTGATAAAAGATACTTTTATTATCTAAAGGAGGAAAAAAGCAAATTTAATGTGCTTAAAAACTCAGAATAAATTAGCATCCCAATAAACTATAAAGTCAAACTAAATGCTATACCCTTGGGTCAATCTGCTGCTTCTAAGTTAAACACTTATTGGTAATAAAAATATAAAACATCCAGCTGGGATCCCTGGGTGGTGCAGTGGTTTGGCGCCTGCCTTTGGCCCAGGGCACAATCCTGGAGACCCGGGATCGAATCCCACATCAGTATCCCGGTGAATGGAGCCTGCTTCTCCCTCTGCCTGTGTCTCTGCCTCTCTCTCTCTCTCTCTCTCTCTCTCTCTCTCTCTCTCTGTGACTATCATAAATAAATAAAAATTTATTTAAAAAAAAACATCCAGCTAACTAACAATAAGCCTAAACTCAAAAGGAGAAAAATAATAGCCTCTAAACCTCTATTTAAAAATATAAAAAATTTGAATTCATACTGAGTTCAAATATGAGACAAAAAGGTAATGGAACATGAAATAGAATGCAAGTAGATTCTTTTTTAAAAAAGATTTTATTTGGGGCAGCCCCGGTGGCCCAGTGGTTTAGCACCGCCTTCAGCCCAGGGTGTGATCCTGGAGACCCAGGATTGAGTCCCAAGTCGGGCTCCCAGCATGGAGCCTGCTTCTCCCTCTGCCTGTGTCTCTGCCCCTCTCTCTTTCTCTCTGCGTGTCTCTCATGAATAAATAAATAAAATCATTAACAAAAAAAAAAAAGATTTTATTTATTAATTTGAGACAGAGTGAGAGTGAGAGAGCAGGATGGGGGAGGGGCGCAGGGAGAGGGATAAGCAGACTCCCTGCTGACTCTGGCCAGGATCCTGACCTGAGCCAAAGGAAGATGCTTAGCCCACTGAACCATCCAGTCACCCCTTAGATTCTTCCTAGAATGTTAGTTTGCATTTTGTTTGTTTCCACTCCAGTGAAATTTAGAATTCCTATGATAATGAGAATAAGAGTATAAAATTTAAGATCTTTAAGATTAAAAAAAAAAAAAGACAAAATGACCAAGGGCTAATCCTATCTAAAACATTGTTCACAGCCCCTAAGGTAAAGCAACCAAAATGAGTAACATAAACAGTGGAGTTCTTTTCCATTGTACAGAAAACAATGCTATATTTTGCAAGTAAATAATGACAAGATCAAAACCTGTCTAAATAATGATATACATAATGAAAGATAAATTAAAGAAGGCCATCCCTATCACTAACCCGCCTACGCAATAGATTCTAGTGTAGGTCGTTTCTCTCCTGGACAGACTTTCTGATGTCTGAGTAATAATTTATATGAGGATATAGTAACTCTCACCGATTCCTTTCACTCAAGGTAATATTTATTTGCACAGGAGATTATTAAATTATGAACTTATTTTCAAAGGAATTGTGTTCACCACAAAGATGAATTAAAGGAATCACTAAAAAAACACTTAAATCATTCTCTGTACCCAGCTTCACAAAAGGCAAAAAAAAAGAGACTCCATGGACAATGCCAACACAAATGATCCTAATTCTAAGCATGAGTTCTGCTTGTTACCTTCTAACGGAAAAAAGTGAAATTCTTGAATGTAACGAGATTCTGGGTAACTCAAAAATCAGAAACAAGCCACCTGAACAAATAATGAAATATAAAAAATGAGGTGTTAACATGTTCTATAACTGTCTCTTAGATACATTTTTAAAGTAAAAATCAAAATACGAGGAAACCACCACAACTCTTAGACATCAGGATGTTGGCATTAGTGGGTAAGGCTGATAATCAGAGCCTTTCCTATGAGACTCTGAAAAGAGGGCAGCCGAAGGGATGAAGAGGTGACTGACTTTTACTAAATTAGAACAGGGTGAAGAACCGAGACTAAAGAAAACTGCATTGTTCGCCAATGCCCTTGTCCACTTTTTAGAACAAGCAGCCCAGTCAAACACCAGCACTGCTGCCTAGTGTTTCTCTGGCTCTGACTCTCCCTTTGTTTAACTTCTCCCACTGAACATCTCTGGCTCAAAAGCAAAACAGACACAGAAGCTCTCCCCCAGGAAACCTGGGCAAATCAGATTGTGCGGGAAGCCATTCCCAGGCCTCCACATAGCTGCCAACATAATCCTCCCTGCTGTTTGCTGGATAAGAAAATGTAATAGAAAAAAAAAAGAAAAGAAAATGTAATAGAGCTCTAATTATATGGAAAGGGGCCTTAAAACAAGCATCTGATTTTCAAAGGATCACAGAATATCATGTTTTTATTTAGTGAATTTTCCTTATCAACCTAAATCTACTCTTATCTAGAATACATTCAATTGCCTCATTTTAAAGATGTTTCGGGATCCCTGGGTGGCGCAGCGGTTTAGTGCCTGCCTTTGGCCCAGGGCGCGATCCTGGAGACCCAGGATCGAATCCCACGTCGGGCTCCCGGTGCATGGAGCCTACTTCTCCCTCTGCCTATGTCTCTGCCTCTCTCTCTGTGTGTGACTATCATAAATAAATAAAAATTTAAAAAAAAATAAAGATGTTTCAACTGCTAAAGTCTCTTTCCAATTTAAAAATAACCTTCAGGGGTATCTGGGTGGCTCAGCTGGTTAAGTGTCTGACTTAGGTCATGATCTCAGGGTCACGATCTCAGGTTCCTGAGATAGAGCCTCCTCTGCCCCAACAGGCTCTGCAACTCACTGGGGAGTCTGCTTGAGATTCTCTCCCCTCTGTCCCTCCTCCAACTCACACACACGTGCATGCACACACACACTCTCTCTCTCAAATAAATCAATCTTAAAAAAACCCAAAGCAACCTTCAGGGTGCCTGGCTAGCTCAGTCGGTGAAGCATGTGACTCTTGATCCCTGGGTTGTGAGTTTGAACCCTACATTGGATGTAAAGATTACTTAAAAAGCTCAGCATGGAGTCCGCTTGAGATTTTCTCTCTCCCTCTGCCTCTGTCCCTCCTCCTGCTTGCAATGTGTGCTCTCTCTCAAAATAACTGAACTCTTTAATTAATTAATTAATTTAAAAAAATAAATAAAGGACGCCTGGGTGGCTCAGCACTTGAGCATCTGCCTTCGGTTCAGGGCGTGATCCCAGGGTCCTAGGATCAAGTCCCACATCAGGTTCCCCGTGAGGAGCCTGCTTCTCCCTCTGCCTGTTTCTCTGCCTCTGTGTCTCTCATGAATAAATAAATAAAATCTTTTAAAAACATTAAAATAAAATAATAATAATAAATAAGTAATATAAAAATAAATATAACCCTCATTCCTTCATTCAACATTTATTTAGTACCTCTTATAACCCAGACATTAGGTGGCTTGGATTCTTCTGCCCAAGGCAGGGGCAACTAGTTGTCACAGAGGTCAGGTGCTACTTATGTGTCTTAATAAAAATACCCATTCAACTAATGTAGAGAACACATGCCAATCCCTACTCTTCCTTTGTTCCGTGTTTAGGCTCATTCTTCTATTAATTATATAGGTATTGTAATCAGTATGCCTGACATTCTCCACTTTCATGAGCACTGATTTTTTTTTCTTAAATAATAAAACAAGTTTACAAAGAAGCCCAGAAAAAAAATCTCTAGGCCTGCCCACATATTGTTATAGCTGCTTAGAAAGTGACCCAGAGAGTGCAACAGAAGCCACCTCTAAAGATCTCAACAAATATGAATTACCTGAAGACAGAACAAAAAATTTCAACTAAAAAACTGTGGATTTGGGGTACCTGTGGGCTCACTTGGTTAAGTGGCCAACTCTTGGTTTCAACTCAGGTCATGATCTCATAGGTCATGAGATCGAGCCCCATGTTGGGCTCCATGCTCAGCAGGAAGTCTGCTTGAAAATTCTCTCCCTCTATGCCTCACCTGACTTGCACTGTCTTTCATTCTCTCTAAAATAAATAAAGCTTAAAAAAAAAAACAAATAAATTGTGGATTTAGCAGGTATATGAAAACACAGTATCAATTATTCCTTACAAATGATTCAACCTCCTGTTTTTATAATTTATAATAGAAATTATAACTATTTATGAATTCAAATTTTTAAGAGCAAAAGAGAAATGAAGGCTTCTCCTACAAATAATCCAAACCCATACAGAGACTCACTCTGCTATGTTGAGATAGCCACAGGAAGCTGCTGCATGAAGGGGTGTCCAGCCCTCGTTGTCTTGTTGGTTTACATTGGCTCTGTTCTCCACCAGAAACTTCACCATGTCCAAATTTTCATCAATACAGGCCTGAAAAGAAAAGTCCATTCATTCACTCAACAAGTACTTAACTGAGTTCTACTATGTGCCAGACACTACTCTGGGCACTGACAATACAGCAGTTGTAGTGATATATTAATTTCTATTTCTTGCATACTGGTAAAAGTGTCCAGAGCATGACTTCTGAGCTTTGTGATTTTATACAAACCCCTGAAATGTCTGCATGCCTCAATATCTCAGCTGCGGGGGCACCTGGGTGACTCAGTTGAGCGTCCAGCTCTTGGTTTTGGCTCATGTCATGATTTCAGGGTCATGGAATTGAACCTCATGTCAGGCTCTGTGCTCAGCTGGAGATTCTCCCCCCGCCCCCTGCCACTCACTCAGCCCCACACACGTGCTCTCTAATAAATAAATGTCTTCTTAAAAAATTTCAGCTGTGAAATAAGTATAATAATACTTAATTTTATTTATAGCACTACTAGGATGAATTGTGAAAGCTTGATTTCTAAAGCACTATAAATGGGTGAGCTGTTTCATCATCATACTATCAAAGAGGACATACTAGAAACCACTAATCTGCTTATGAAGTTCAAAAGAAAACAGTCACACAAAATCAAATGCAATTTTCTTAGTGGGAAGCTATAGATTAAGGTTCTGGGATTGCCAAACAATCCTTACTTTGGTGAGAAAGGATGAGATGATCACTTCAAACTGAAGAAATGTACTTTCTTCTCACATATTTTTTTAATGACTCCAAACAATAAGGCAAAGTATATTTATAGTTATGGATGGTTAGGAATCCTTAGCTGCCCACCTCAGACCAACAATTAGGAGAAAGCAGACGAGCTCTTTGGGTAGAAACTTTAAGGCTACCATAAGCCTAAAACAAAGTCAGATATAGCAATGAGATTTGCAGACCAAAACACGGTCTTAACTTATCTGTAAAAAGGAGGCAAAATGCCCACATTGATAAAGGTCGTCATTATCAAGGTTTTGATGGTTCTAAAACAGTTGGGATAATTCAGGACCCAGAAACAAATGAAACTCCTTTAAAAAACAACAACAACAAAAAAAAAAAAAAAAAAAAAAAAAAAAAACTTGTCTTTAAGTCCCCTCCTTGGGCAGTGTGGGGGTGTGGTGGGAGTTAAAACTTTAGCTCAAAAGCTATTATCAGATCAAAATGATTTTCTAAATTTTTTTTTTATTTATGATAGTCACACACAGAGAGAGAGAGAGAGAGAGAGAGAGAGGCAGAGACACAGGCAGAGGGAGAAGCAGGCTCCATGCACCGGGAGCCTGACGTGGGATTCGATCCCGGGTCTCCAGGATCGCGCCCTGGGCCAAAGGCAGGCGCTAAACCGCTGCGCCACCCAGGGATCCCCTCAAAATGATTTTCTATAATAATATCAAAACATTAGGGATACCTGGGTGGGTCAGTGGTTGAGCGTCTGCCTCTGGCTCAGGGTGTGACCCCTGGGTTGCAGGACTGAGTCCTGCATGGTGCTCCCTGCAGGGAGTCTGCTTCTCCCTCTGCCTGTGTCTCTGCCTCTCTCTCTCTCTCTATGTCTCTCATGAATAAATAAAACCTTAAAAAAAATAATAATAATTTTAAAACATTATTTGCCCTTTTCACTGTGTTGACATTTGCACTAAGGATACAAAAGGTATTATGGGTACAACTACTGGTGCCTTAGTATGAATCAAGGTGGTAGCACTGAAGGGTACTAGTCCTCACTGTATCCTTCCATACCACACACTTGCAGTTTATTTATTATATATATCTATATATATAGATATAGATATAGATATGACTTAAGTAGTACATATCTTACTTAGAGACTTACAGGAACTTCCTCCAGAGATAAACCTCATATCAATCCTGCCTAGAAGCAGGGGCATGGATGAACAACGACTGATTCAATTTGGATGAAAACTTAATTAGGTAACCCTAGTTACCAAAAAGCGTCTTTGTTCATTTTTCCCCAAGCCATTTGATACTCTTTTTACAATTACTGAGATTAGCTACTATATCAGCCTAGATTTGATTTGATGCAATATAATATATTCCTCTAACCTGACCTCTGGAAGCCAAATGACTCTTACAGCCAAAATTCATAATGGCTTCTTTTTCAACAAGTAGCTCCAAAAATTACATTTCTTCTACCATGTTCTCTTAGGTTTATCAACTTCTACGAGCATTTCTTATTTACTCTTTACTTCTATACCATGTAAAATAGTTCATAATTAGGGGCACCCAAGTGGCTTAGGGGTTGAGCATCTTCCTTTGGCTCAGGGCGTGACCCCGGGGTCCTGGGATGAGTCCTATATCGGGCTCCCTGCAGGGAGCCTGCCTTTCCCTCTATTTCCTGCCTCTCTCTGTGTGTCTCTCATGAATAAATAAATAAAATCTTCAAAAAATATTTCATAACTATTATTATCACTATATTTCACACATATTGCGTGTCTGCCAGTCTGCAGTCCCCATAGGATAAGGTTTGCCAATTCAGTGCAGAGTACCTTGCTTAAAAACTGTTAATAAAGACTTTTAAGTGAAAAGATGGAAGGGAGTACTTTTCAAAAAGGTACTGAAGTCTAAGGAGAAGAAAATGCTTGGCCCATGTTATAATAAACTCCTGTATCACAAAGATCAAATGTGCCATCTCAACCTGCGTCAGACAGCTGGGTAAACTGTTTCCTCCTTGGTTGCAAAATTTCTTTGGCTCAACAGTCTAAAAACTTAGCTCCAACGGCCACGCCATCAGCAGGCGGACTTTTGGAAGCCAAGGTTTTCAAGATCATTCTTTGTCCTTTGAAGATGACAGCAGCCAAATCCCAGAGGATCTAAAATAAGCCCAGTGAGTCCAGGTATCAAACAGGAGAAAACTTCTCTTTCTGTCTCTCTTACTCACTTCTCTCCCTTCCTCTTCTTAATCTCCTTCACTCTATCACCACTTCAGTTCTCTTCTTTTTGAGTTTTGTGATATTTTCGTCTATGTATCTCAAATTCTTGATACAGTATTTTTAGTATTTTTAGACATTGTGAGGATGTTTGAGAAGACAACGACATCAAAAAGCTGGCCCAATCTGCCATTTACTTTAGCAGATCATCAATCTCCAACAAATCATCTCAGAGAAAATAAAGTAGGTCAACAGTTACGGGGTTATTCCCCATACCCTCCACAAAACGAAGGACACCATCTTGTTAAAAACATCAGCTTTAATGTCAAACAGACCCGGCTGCATACCAGCTCTGCCAATACATCTAACCTGGAGTGAAGTATGTAACCGGAGTATCAGTGTACTCACCTATAGCATGAGAATACCACCTACCTCATAGGATTTTGTGAGGATCAAAGGAGCTAAACCCTGACGTTGTTGTTTTTAAGCCACCAGTTTAACAAATAGCAACTTCTTCAGGAAAGTGCACCAATTGCACTAACTCTTCACCCATCACTGCCCTCCCCCCACTCCAGTATCTTAAAGGAGGAAGGCAGTTTGATTAAAATATGTCTTTGAACTATCAAGATTTTAGAGCTTGTTTATTAAGTCTGACTCCAAAAAATTCCCTCTTTAGTGTTCAGGATCCTGCAGGTTCCTAAATTCAGGAGCTAAGTGAATAAAATAGCATGTACCATGGTTAAGCTGAAAGGGAATCACCCTCGGAGACAATCAACACAGCTGTAGGACACTCGTGCTCATGAATATCTTGGAGTGACCATTCTCTTTTTGTTTCTGTCTCCAGAAGAAGGAATATGACTAAAGCCACGAAGAAGAGACAAATAGTCACTGAAAACCTTCTCAAGTGAATAATGACTAAATTTAGATGCCCTTCTGCTCACTCCATCTGCAGCTGTGCTGCTGACTCATTCACGAACGAAGCCTGGTAGACGAGCAGATTCATCCATCTATAAAACCTTGTCCAGGGACATGGACTCCAACACGATGTCTCTGCATAGAGCTATGACGAACCTTCCAGCTAGATGGGTCTTTCCTTTCCTTGAATAGGCAAAGGATGCTAAAGAAGTTTCTGACGTTACTCATGACATCAATGGGAATATCCTTTGCATTTAACCCAGTTCCTTTTGCTGTGGCTTACATTCATTCACTTCCTTCTATTTTTCATTCCTGAGGACACACAGAACATTACTAAAATAACAAGTTCTCCTAAGCTTCTTAACAAAAAGAAATATTTAATTATCAGTCCAGAGAGATATTAGAAAAATTGCCAGATGATAATGTAAAGCTTCCTAAAATCAGCATGTTACATTTTGCTGGCAATGATAAGCTATCTCCAAGGAAAAGGACTTGATTTTACCAATAAAATGATAAAAGAGCACTATGATCTCTCTACTGTACCCAATATTCCTCCCTCTATATCAAAGACAAAAGTGGCTGATGGTTGCTCAGTGCCAGGGTTAAATTTGGGAGTGCGAGAAAGCCTTACAAAACAAAGCCTCCTCCATTCCCAAAATAGCCTGCAACTGTCACCACCACCAAGTGCCGCTGGCTCCAAGAGCTGACCTTGCTCTCGTGTGTCAGAATACTGCTAAAACTACCTGCCTTTGCCCCAGAACAACTCTCTTCCCCACAAAACCCAGCCGCAGATGCCAGGGCAGATGACGCACTTAGAAGCTGCGCTTTATGCAGCATACCACCTATGTGTTTGGATTTTTCAGCTCACACTTGCCTTGATTTCAACAAATCATGCTAAAAAAGGTGTTGGGAGGTGATGATGTTTGTAACATGTCCCCATTCCATACATTTCACAATTTTGTCCTTTAGCCTCCCCAAATTTATATAATTCAATAATAATATTAATAATTTACATACAGGGTATATAATTCAAAATTTATATAATCCTCCAAATTATATAATTTCAACTTTATGCTGAAAATTCTGAATGTTTGGAGATAACAGTAAAGAGCATAATTTCTTTCACACAAACCTTACACATTCCTGAATTACCTATATGAACATCTTAAGTCATTCCTAGCAAAGCTAGAATATAAATTCCACAAAGGCTACTTGTT